TAAAAGTTCCAAAATAACCACCCGCGCTCGGTTTTTCAACGAGCGCTATTAGTCTAGGCGGTGGCTGATGCTGCGCCTTATCTCGTTGGAATCGACTTTCAAAAAGCTTTCCAACAAGACCTATTTTGCCAAATTTCTTCCAGCGGGTGAAACGTTATTGGCAAAAGAGTTTTTGCCCTCTACATCTCATCTCTTGACCCATGACTATCTCCAAAAGTGTCACGTGGCAGTTTGATGAGGATTTTTTTTAGAAGACCCCCCCGGCTAGGGGGCAGCACTACAGTGGAACTGGGTGGCTGATCAAGATCTCAGCCAACCCCAGATAATGTGCACCAGCAGTTCATCACCACCTTGAAGACCCCTTCTCCCAAGGGGTGTGTGAAGGCCAAGATTTTGTGGATCTTAGTGAAGTTGTATGCTCTTGGTTACCCAAGAGTTGAGTATCACCTCTCTCATCCCTAATCCACTCTCCCACTCCCTTTTCCCTCTCTTCCCTTCATCATCTGACCTTCTTTTTCTCTTACCACCACTCATCCATCACCTTTTCTCACTCCTCTCTCCACTTTTCTCATTTCTCTCCTCTTCTCCMCACTAATCTYTCATCCCCTTCACTCTTTYTCMATCCACTACCATATTTTTACTCTCTCCTCTCCCAACCTCACTYTCCKTGCTTCTTTTCCCTACTTCTCTCCTCTCCTTCCCCTTAATCTCTCATACCCTTCCCTCTTCACTCATCTCCCACCATCTTTTTCTCTCCTCTCTCTCCACTCACCTTCTTTTAATAATCTCTCACTCTTTTCTTCACCTTTTCCATAGCTTTCTCTCTCATTCTCTCACCCTCCTCTCCTTATTTCTCTCCCCAACCACAACCCCATTATCTCCCTCACCTACCACTTCAATCTTTTCTCTTTCCCACCTATTTTTCTCTTTTTTTCATCACTTTTTCATCGCTTTCCCCCCCATTTCGATTTTTTCTGTTTTTCTTATTTTCTCTTTCTTTTTTATTTAAATTTTGTCCGTTTCTCCAAAAATTCGAATTATCTTCTTCCCTACTTTTTTTCTCATCTTTCTGATTTATTTTATTTTCCTTCATTTATTTTAAAAATTCGAATTTTTCTGCGGCACTCTAAAATCTGATTAGGTCTTAGCCATTCTTGCTTTCGGTATACAATTTGACCCCGTGGGGGTAACGAAGTGCTGCCGAAATTTGTGAAAAATCCAAAACTTGGTTAGTTTCTCTTCACTCTCCTCCACCTCCTTATTTATTTATTTATTTATTTATTTATTTATTTATTTACTTATTTTTCTGAAAATTTTAATTTGCGGCATTGTAAAAATGAGTGTGCTTCTCTTAGTCTCTCCTTTCTCTTTGCACATTTTGACCCCATTGGGGTAAGAAAATGCTGCCGAAATTTTCAAAAAAATAAATAAGTCCTCTTCCCTTGCTCTTTACATTTTATTTATTTATTTATTTTTATTTCTTTTTTTATTTTATTTTTATCTCGAAATTTTATTGTTTATTTTATTTTCTTTCCCCCTCCCCTCCATATTATGTTTTTTCTTGATTAGGTCGCCGCTACCCTGCCCTAACCACCTAAACTCCGGATAGGGTTTTCTTAGGGTTTTCTAGGGTTTAGGGTTCTGCTAACTCCCGCCCCCCTTCCTTCTCTCCCGCCTCCTCCCGTCGGGCACCCTGGACCTGGACGACTCCTCCCCCCTCGAGCGATTCGGCGCCTTGGTCTCACGCACGACCCGCAAAATCCGAGCCGAGCCGACTCACACATACTCACTCCGCTCCCGCGGTCCCCTTCCTCTTACCGGTGGGCCCCTTTCCCACACACTCCTCTAAGGACTACCTCCATTCCCCTTCCGGCCATGGAAGGGAGTTAATCCGAGGAGATCGCCGCGGCGCAGTCCACACCCCAGGTCAGCGCGCCGTCAGCGGCTCATGATCAGGCCAATGCGGACACGATGGACCTTCATGCCGTCCTTAAAACAATCCGGATACAACTTAGTACGCTTGGACCGTTGCAAGCGCAAATCAATGTGCTAGCCCTCGACGTCAACCGCCTCAAGGACTCCCCTCATCGCTCTCTCCACCGCTCTCACACCCCTTCCCTTACCGGCTCCGATTCCGGCTCCCCAGGACTCCAGAGACGGAGTCACCATGGTTCTCCCTCCTCTGCGGGCCAGGCCCAACACTCCCCCTGAGCGGTGGCGACTGTTGCTGCCGCTCAGACCACCCCGTCCGTTGCGGCAGTTCTTTCGGCCACGACCGCCCCTACCGTCTCTACTACTATCGTAGGTGCTGCGGTCCAGGTACGGCCATCTGGCCGCGCAGTTTCATCGACCTACCCCGGTGTTGCTTCCCAGCTTCCCGCACCGGTCACGGCAATACGGCTCCGCCCTCTTCTTCCTGCCTTCGTTCCCCCACCCCCATAGCAGGGTACCGCCCATACAAGGATTCCTCCTCCTACTGGGCGACCCGCTCCGCCCCCTCCACCTACGACCCCTCGCACCCAGCGAGTGGCCACTTTACAGGCCACCATTGCGCAAGCTCAGGCGGAGATTCTCGTTCTGAGACAGCCTCACCCATCACAGGTTGCCCACCCTTCTTCCTCTACCACCCCTTTGGTCCCCATGATGCAGGCTCGTTTCCCTCGACCTGCTTCTCAGCCTCTTCCCTCCTACCTGGCTATTTAGGGATAGCTGCTCGCGGCCGTTGCCTCCTCGTCTGCTGGTCCATCCGCCAGCGGCCACGGCCCACAGCCTTCCCCCACCTCTGCCCCTGCAGCGGCCTCGACTTACGCTGCCGTAGTGCACTCGCCTCGGTCTCTCTCCCCCCGCCATCAGCACAGTGGACATCCTCCTATGCGCACTACGGACATTCCCGAGTATGATGGCACATCCCGTGTCTCTCGCTGGTTGCAGATAGCAACGCGCACGCTCTCTATGACGACCACCCGTCAGGAGTTGTGGTGCGATATGCTCGCAACCAAATTGCGAGGTAGCCCTTCCACTGCGTGGGAGGATCACTATACCCAGCGCCTCCGCGTAGGTGAGGTCCCCACTTTGGCCGACTTCGCGGCCTTCCTTCAGGACCGTTTCGGCGCTCGTCATGACGCCACCGACGCCTTAGACCACATCGCCCAGACCAGATGGTCCGGGGCCTTTGTACCGGCCGACCTGAGCGTCACATCCGGGTGTTTCAGGATGCTCGCCTTGTTTGTGACGAGACGTTCCTACCGGAGGTCACACTCTCCGACCGGTTCCTTGTCAGCCTGCCGACTGACTACCGCCTAGAGCTATGGAGGTGATGATTCTCTTCCGCGGAGCAGGCATACGAGGCTGCGCGTCAGTACCAAAGGATGTGCAGTCGCTTCTCCGTCGCCCCATCCTCTTCGCGGCCAGCCGCCATCTCCCAGTCTCGGGGTACCACCCGAGGCCGCTCCTCGTTTGCCGGTCGTTTTCGTCGCCTGGCTCGACCTGGAGCGCCATTCGCTCGGCACTACAGTTCTCTCGAGTATGGAGAGGACGCCTCAGCCGAGCTCGATCCTACCATTGGGGATGCCCCCGAGGACATCGAGCTTCGGGACGTCATCCAGTACCACTCGGATGACGACACTGTCCCAATGGCCGAGCGCCTGCAGATGGCCATGTCTTTCATGGGTCGTGCACGCAGTCGGGTTGCGCAGGCTGGCGCCCTCACACCCACGGTTCCTCAGATAGACCTCCCGCAGGGTTTTGTCCCTCCTTGCGGAGCTTTATCCCCCAAGGAGCGTGCCGCCCTCGAGGCCCGACGAGGCTGCCTTCGTTGCCGCCAGGATGGACACACCTCCTCACGGTGTCCATACCACACCGCCCTCGATCGGTACTACGCTGACATTTCTCGTCAGCGCCGATCTCAGTCCCCCCCGGACCCCGCCCGGCCAGCCCCACCCAGCTAGCCACGGTGCAGTGTACCCCTGAGGCCTCGCACGTAGCCGGTTTCCCGACCACCGAGTCGCGGTTTGCCCTTTTGGCTACCTCACCAGAGGACACTCAGGATACGCCAGACGCTGTTCTCTCTGCCCCGTCGTCTGTCGAGGTACTGCCTGCCTCCCCGCAGACCGCCACATCTAGCGCTTCTCCCCCGAGACTTCCGACGCGTCGCGCCATTCGCACATCCCGTTGTAGCACTCAGCTGGCGACTCGCGATGACGTTGTGTCATCTCTCCTGGACTTGAGCATTCTGCAGGCTCGTCAGGAGCGAGTCACGAGGCACGTCAACGTCCTGYGTCGTCTTCTCGCTCTGCTCCCTGACCCTGATCGCACCCTACCCATCATCCCTATTCGCCTAGGGACATCTASGAGGGTGTACCTCGCTTTATGGGACTCTGGCTCGCAKGGAGATTTCGTTCACCCTCGAGTGGTTGAGGAAGCTCGYCTAGCTACYTCTGGGTCTCGCTCTCCTATTTCCGTTACCCTCAGAGATAACAAGACGCAGCGCTTCTTCGATCAGACGGTCCCCGACCTCCACTTCTCCCTCACCCTCCAACCATCGGATAGTACCCAGACCGCTATCATTCCTCCGCATACTTTGACATGCTGGAGATTGGGTACGACTTTATCCTTGGCACTCCCTGGTCTCGCCAGTTCCGCAGCACAGAGGCCGAATGGGCGACAGAGACACTCGTTCTCAAAACGAAGTGTGGTCAGACCCATCGCGTCCCATTCCGTTACCCTAAGTGAACGTCATGGATCTTCTTCGCTACGATCCACTCTGTCCCGAGGTTGAGCTCATGTCTCTAGAGCCCGATCCCCCTGACCCTCCTTCCATCTTCGCGGCTCCCATCTCTACATCCACTCGTCAGCCTGCGGATACCCCCTCCACGTCTCAGGCCCCTGCGCCGTCGACTGTCGAGTCCACACATACGTCTCGTGCTGACGCAAACGCCGAGGAACTCACACGGTTCACGGCAGACTTAGAGTCGGCCGTTCGCAACCTGATTCGAGAGTACCGCGACGTCTTTCCCCCGTATTTCTCATACARCGGKATTCCCCCRATGCRCGGTGTTAAGCWTTYTATGCAGCTCGTGCYTGACTATCGTGTTCACCATCAGGCACCGTACCGACTCTCGATCCCAGAGGCGATGAAACTCAAGCGTCAGCTTGAGGAGCTCCTTCGACTGGGTTTCATTAAACCCAGTAACTACCCTTGGGGTGCACCTGTCCTCTTTGCTCGCAAAGTGGACGGAACTCTCCGCCTGTGCATCGACTACCGCGGCCTTAATCGTTACACGGTTAAGAACAACTATCCCATGCCCCGTGCGGAAGAGTTGTTTGACCGTCTGGCAGGCAACCGCTTCTTCACGAAGATCGATCTTTGTAGCGGTTACCACCAGATCTGCGTTGCCACAGAGGATCAGTCGAAAACCGCCTTTCGGTCGCGCTTCGGCCACTACGAGTTCACGGTGATGCCATTTGTCCTCACCAATGCCCCCGCCACCTTCCAGACGACGATGAACGACATCTTCAGGGACATCCTTGAAGAATACGTTCTCGTATACCTGGACGACATTTTGGTATACAGTCGTACCTTAGAAGATCATCTCAGACACCTCCGCGATGTCCTACAACGCTTACGCAAGCATGGCTTCTATGCCAAGCTCAGTAAGTGCCGCTTTGCCCAGAGCAAAGTGGACTTCCTAGGACACCATGTGTCTGACCAGGGTCTCTACATGGACAACGCGAAGATCACTGCTATTGCAGAGTGGCCCGTCCCCACATTTGCCAAGCAGCTTCGCAGTTTCCTAGGCCTCACCAGCTACTATAGTAATTTTATCCAGGGATACGCTAGATATTCCTACGTCCTTACCTCTACCCTCCTCGGGAAGAACCCGTCGTGGTTTTGGACACCCCTGTGAGAGGACGCCTTTCGCGCCCTCAAGAAGGCGGTGACCTGTGCGCCGGTTCTTCGCCTTCCCAATTTTGATCGTCCCTTTATTGTCACCACCGATGCGTCAGATTTTGCAGTAGGAGTTGTCCTTTCTCAGGTGTTTCCCTCTCCTCCAGAGTCACCTTACCCCCATGTTCCTCCTTTCCTCCCCTCTTGCTAACACTGCTTCTCGACTGACGCCTACCCTCCCACCACTTCCCTCCACTGACAATCCTCCTGTTACTTACTCCCCGACCATCGCGGAGGATGGGACTGTCGAGACTCGTGCTGGGGATGGCCCGATCGCATTCTACTCCTGTCAGCTACTGCCTGCTGAGATAAACTACACTGCCGATGAACGTGAGGTTCTCACAGTAGTTTATGTTGTCCGACATTGGCGTCATTATTTGCACGGGGCGCCCTTCATGGTGCGCACGGACAACTCAGTTGTCCAGGCTTTCCTCACGAAGCCTTAGCTTCTTTCCCCTCGACAGGCACGCTGGTGGCGTGACTTATCCGAGTTCAGTTTCACCACTCGGCCCATCAAAGGTGAAACGAACCGCGTCACCGATGCCTTGTCCCGCCGTCCTGATCACAATCAGGAACCCATCCATCTGGCTGTCATCTCCATCACCACTGTTGATCAGTCGGTGATCGACGCGTATCGCACTCAGTACCGCCACTGCCCCGATTATCGCGTCATCCACGCGACACTCCGGAGTGGCAAGACCGTTCCTTCTTACTCCCTCGGGGAGAACGGCCTCGTGTATTGGCATGGCAGATCCGGTCAGCTAGAAACACGTATCTGCGTTCCCTCCACCGGACTGCTCCGCGTCCAGGCTGTAACCAGTCCCATGACCAGGCAGCTGCCGATCATATGGGTTTCCACAAGACGTTGGCTCGTGTTTGCCGCCTATACGTCTGGCCGAAGTCCAAGGACTTAGTCAAAGCGTACATCCAGGAGTGTCCTACCTGCCAAGAGGTGAACAGTGCGAACCACCTTCCGTATGGGTTACTTCAGCCCTTACCCATACCCGAGGGTCGTTGGCAGTCCATCTCGATGGATTTCATTGGTCCCCTCCGCCCACCCACTCAGCGTGGTCATGATGCTATTTTGGTCGTCGTCGATCGCTTCACGAAGCGTGCACGTTTTGTTCCGTGCCGCTATCGCATTAGCGCTCGTGAGGTCGCCGACATCGTCTTCGACCGAGTCGTGAGAGATCACGGCTTACCTCAGAGCATCATCTCCGACCGTGACCCGCGCTTTACCAGCACATTCTGGCGACGCCTACACGAGGTGTACGGATCCCAGCTCCGCTTCTCATCGTCTTACCACCCTCAGACGGATGGTCAGACTGAGGTCATCAATAAAACTCTTGGTAATATCCTCCGAAAGTTTGTTAGGGATGACCAACAGTGAGACTTACACTTAGCCCACGCGGAGATTGCGTACAACCACGTTGTTTCGCCAACCACGGGGATGTCGCCATTCTATTGCGACCTCGGCTACCACCCTCGCGTACCCGCGGATTTTCCACGACCATCGCGGTTGCGCCCAGACACTCCTTGCCCTGCGCTTGACGACTGGATCGCCCACATGGTGGCGATTATGGAGCGCGCACACGAGAGTTTAACCGACTCCTAGACTCGCATGGCCGCACGAGCGAACCGATCACGAATGGATCATCCATTCAAAGTCGGTGACGATGTGCTCGTCGACGCACGCCACTTACAGCTCGAAGCAGATACGCTTCGCAAGTTCAGTCGTCGTTTCTTCGGTCCATGCCGCATCCTTCAGGCCGTCGGTTCTGATACTACCGCTAGTCCAGTCAGCTTCCGTGTGAAGCTACTTGATTACCTTCGACAGGCTCGCGTACACGATGTTTACCACGTCTCCTTGTTGCGTCCTTATCGCAGACCGTTCGAGCGCTTCGCCGGACGCCCTTATGAGCGCCCTCCACCTATCATGGTGGACGGTCACGAGGAGTTCGTTGTTTCCGACATCGTATCACGCTGAGTTACCGATGATACCCCTCCACGCATCGAGTACCTTGTGCGTTGGAAGGGCTACCCTGATGAGGAGGCTACTTGGGAACCCCTCGAGCACTTGCAGCACGTCAAGATGTTGGTGCGTACATATGATCGTGCTCGTCGTACTGAGACATCTTCTTCTACTCAACCGACTGACCCTCTTCGTCCTCCTCCGGCTGAGAAGATTGCTGAGGACGCGCCCGCTCCCTCTGAGGCCGTTCCTCAGCCGCAGACGGTCGCCTCCGAGCGTCCACAGCGCACTCATCATCGCCCTTCGCGTTACGATGACTGACACTCTTATCCTCTATCTTTCCCCTACTGACTCACACCATCAGGTACTCCATCATCAGCTTCTTCAGGATGTCAGCGTTTTGCGGCTCTGCTTCGACATCGACTCCACTGCTACTTCATCGACGTCATCGACCACTTCGACGACTTCAGCTACTTTGGACGTGACTACTTCACGCCACCACCCTACCAGGTACATTTGCTTGGATCTGTCGCATGATGGTTCTTACTTAGCTGGGTCTCTTTAAGTTGGGCTCTCCCTTGGTATCGCATAGGCATTGGGACCGTAGCGTTATCTTGGCTTCCCTGCTCCCAGATCTAGCTCCTTCCTCCCCCAGTCGGTGAGTTGTGTGCATGTTTCCCTCACCCACTGTCCTCATCACCCTAGTGTCGGCTCGTGCATGCCTTCAGTTAGGCATATCCTCACCCTATTTCAGGCTCCCCCTTTTTTCATGGTCGACCTTGCATGGTGTCATCCTTTTGTCGAGCATTACCCGCCCTGATGGTCTATTTGTTAGGGTCTTTGGTTTTGTTTCGCTACTACTCACCCACCTTGAGCCTGATGACCTATCCCACCTTCACGTGTGACTGCCCTTAGGAGTTTCAATTCTTAGGCTGCATTCACCCCCTCTTAGACCATCCCACCCTTAGTGGTTCAGCGAGAGGACATTATCTTGTGCCATATTGCTCTTTTTCCTTTCATCACTGAGGCAATTGCCTCCAGGACTTTAGGATTGTGTATTGCTACATTTCACTTTTTGCTATTAGCTAGGATATGGATACCAGACATTTGCTTTTCGTTTGACATTATGTAGCTTAGGATGCATCGCATGGACTCCGCATGGAGCTTGCTCCACATCCTAGATTTCTCAGCTTTCTTTATTGCAGAGTTCCGCTGCTTTTGCGGATAGCGTGTTTATGGCTCTTGCGATCCATTACATGTCTGAGGATCGTGCAGCGGGCCTTCATCTGCCCTGGCCTACAACCAGGGCCTATTTGGCTATTTGCCAGTTCGGACTAAGGGACCAGGCCGTGGCCTGACCCCACAGGCCGTGTGATGTTCCAGTCCTGCCCGGTACCAATGTCGGTACCAGGCCAGTCCAGTCAGTCAGTCAGTCCGCTGGGGGTATACCCCAGCTGTTGTATGTTTTTGATTCATTCTTCATTTGCACAGATTGGAGTACGTGCGTGTTGAGTCTTCGTTGGAGCTGCGCTGTCCCTTCCAGCTCCATCTCCATCTCCCTCATCCTCATCCCTTCGTCTTGATCCTGACGGACCACCATCCCGGCGGGTCTGTCACACTGGTATCAGAGCAAGCTTTCCTCCCTGCTCCTCTCCCCCACCCACCCCACCCACCCCACCTAGATTCGGGGTAGTCCTTCCCAGGCCGTTACCTCTGTTGGTACCAGCCAGTCCAGTCCAGTCCAGTTAGTCCGCTGGGGTATACCCCAGCTGTTGTCTGTTTTCCGGAGCATTCTACATTCACACACTTCAGAGTACGTGCGTTGGAGTTTAGTGTGGAAGCTGCGCTCTGCCATCTCGCTACCCCTTATTTCTCCATCTCCATCTCTATCCCAGGCGGAGCACCACGCTTGGTGGGTCCGCCACATTGGTATCTGAGCGGGAACGTTCCTCGTTCCCCCCCCCAACCCACCGCACGGCACGGAAAACAGCAAAACCCGACAGTGAGGTTTTTCGCTGTTTTTCGCGCGGTTCTCAATGAAAACGAGGGAAAAGAAAGGTGCAGCAGGGAGTGACACGTGGTGGGAAAATGAGTTGCCATCACGACGCGTGCGCGCAAGCGCGAAGGCCAAGGCCGCCGCACACGCACACTCACACGCCACGTGCCCATGTTGCCCTGCCCCGCCCCGCTCTCGGATTTATTTTTCAAGATCCGGGATGCATGACGTTGCCAGGGTTTGAACCCGGACAGCTGCTGGCTATGCTCGTGCGTAACCACTTCCATAACACACTCGCCACAGTGTACATATGGCTTGGTAGTGTGAAACGCTGCTGTTGAAGAGGTGCGTGCCAGCTATTTACCCCCCCCCCCCCCCGCCGGCGAGCAGTGGCCAGCAGGGCAGCAACGGCCGGGCTGCTATTTGCCCGCCCCTCCCCCCCCTTGGCTGCTGCTGCCTGCGCACGTGGCCATCTGCAGTGCCACGTGG